TTGCACTGGGGAAAGTCTTCTGTCAGAGACCTCTCCAAAGTACTGAAGAACAATGATGTTGGTCTGGAGACTAGGGTGCACCTGATCCAGGTCATGGTATTTGTAATTACTTACTATGCCTCAGAAAGCTGGACAAAGGCTAGGAATGATAGAAAGAGAATTGATGCCTTTGAGCTATGGTGTTGGAGAAGACTATTGAATATACCATGAACTGCTAGGAGAACAAACAAGTTCATCCTGGAGAAGGTGAGGCCAGGTTGCTCCTTGGAGGCAGGGATTCTGAAGCTTCATCTGACATACTTTGGACATGTTGCAAGGCAGGCTCAGTCTTTGGAGAGGGATATCATGCTTGGGAGGGTGGAGGAACAGCGCAGGAGAGGAAGACCCTCGTTGAGATGGATTGATTCATTGACTGGGGTACTCGGGATGGGCATGTCAGAGACAATAAGATTGACACAGGATAGAGCAGGGTTTAGGGCTATTGTACATAGGATTGCTATGAATTGCAGGTGATTCCACAGCACATAATAACAACTAAGTTGAGACTCTTTTTTTTTTATAAATTTTATCTTTTCGTTTCTGTTGTAAATTTTCTGCCCGTGTCTTTTCCTTTTTTTTTCCTAGTGGGCCACTTTTCTTATTGATATATCTCTTCAAAGATATACTTGTATCTGTTATATGAATTACATATGCTTGATTGTAAGGGACAGCAAACTCCAGCCAGTGGGTCAAATTTGTCCTAGTGCCTATTTTTGTAAATAAAGTTTCATTTGAATGTGCCACTCCATTTGTTTATCTGTTGCCTATGGTTTTTTCATGTATGAAAGCAGAGTTGAATAATTGTGATGGCAACAAAGCTGTTTATGTTTAAAAATATTTACTATTTGGCCCTCTGCAGAAAAAGTTATTCTTCCTTTACTTTATCCCAATCTGTTGCTTATCTTTGTACTTTGGATGGTCTGTTTTTTTTCTTACAACAAATTTGAATTTGCATGTGGCAATCCTGTAGAATATTTATAAAACATTTATTTTAGCTTTTGTATCTTAGCCAGTAATGCTTTTCTATCCTAAGTTAACAAAAACATTTCATATTTTCTTGTAATATTTTTGTGGTTATATTTGTTGCATTTATGTTAATTTAATCTATGAGGAGTTCATTATTTTTAGTCTTACAGTATATTTTGTTTAACCCAACATAGCCAACATATTGTTACTTCAATGCATAGAGATAGAGATAGAGATAGATAGATATATAGATAGATAGATAGATAGAGATATATGTAATTTTCATTTCCTTTTTTGGGGGACCAAATTTTCAAAAAAATTACTATGTAGTGTGAGGTAGGGATCAAACATCATTATTTTAAAATAGTTAGCAATTATCTCAGTGCTATTTATTGCCTGTTGTTGTTGTGTACTGTCGAGTTGGAACTGACTCATAACTGACCCTTCAGTGAGTTTTCAGAGGCAATTAATCACACGGGTGGAGAGTGTCCATCCTTCTCCCATGGAACAGCCAGTGGATTCAAACCAGGTGCCTTCAAGATTGCAGTGCAGCTAGGCCACCAGAACTCTCATAGGTGTGTCTTTATAGTCTATTGTTGTTGTTGCTGTTGTTATCATGTGCCATAGAATCAGAATTGACCCATAGCTGACTCTTCAGCTGGTTTTTCAGAGGTGATAAATCGCATGGGAAGAGACTGCCCCGCAGGATTGACAGGGTTAGTTTGCTCATTTTACAGATGAATCAGTTGAGGTCCAGAGAGGGGTAGTGACCATCTCAATGTCACAAAGCTGTGAAGGGATGACGTAAGCAGAGGAGCTGACCCTCATCTGTGGGACTACTAAAATTCAGCTTTAAGGAGCTCTTGTGACTTAGTGGTAAGGAGTTGTGCTGTCACCCCCAAATCCAGCTTTCGTTTACTGATTATGGGGATAGTATGTGGGGACTGAGGATGGTGGGTGACCAGGATGCTTTCATCACCCCCATGAGCTCCTGGTCTACAATAGGACCTTGACATACGTGCTCAAGAGCAGTGGTGGAGATGTGTACACAGCACAGGGAGTCCCACACTATTCCTACTTGGGGCTCAGAGGTCTCTCCAGGGAAGGACCCCTTGGAATTGTACTACAATGAATCTGTAATGGTGTTTGTGACCAAGGACAGAGGCAGGAGAAGGTGTCCAAGGTGTGGGGGAACATATGCAAAGGCTCAGAGGCAGGCAGGTTCTTCTGGGTCTGTTCCACCACGCTGCGAGTCTCTCCTTCAGGTGCTCCAGGCAGTGACCCTCTTCCTTTCTCCTCTCTTACCCACTGTCCACCTTCCCCGTGACAGACAAGGAGATGTGGCACTGCCCCCTTACTACCAGCCAGAGGAGGATGATGAAATGCCTTTCATTTGCTCCCTGTCAGGGGACAATGGCATTATGGGCTGCCACGAGATCCCCCCGCTTAAAGAGCAGGGCCGAGAGTGCTGCCTGTCCAAAGATGACATCTACGACTTTGGGGCAGGCCGCCAGGACCTCAATGCCAGCGGCCTCTGTGTCAACTGGAACCGTTACTACAACGTGTGCCGCACGGGCAGTGCCAACCCTCACAAAGGCGCCATCAACTTCGACAACATAGGCTACGCCTGGATCGTCATCTTCCAGGTGCGACCCCTCAGGCCCAGACTGCCCCATGGGAGGGCAGGGTGATGGCGGGTGACTCCTGGGTGCTGGGCGGGAGGGCAGGGTGATGGCGGGTGACTCCTGGGTGCTGGGCGGGAGGGCAGGGTGATGGCCGGTGACTCCTGGGTGCTGGGCAGGAGGGCAGGGTGATGGCTGGTGACTGCTGGGTGCTGAGCAGGGCTTGGCGTGAAGTGCTTGCCCTCAATTCATTAGACTCTACTCAACTTTCTGGGACAATAGTCATTATCAGGCCCACTTCATAGACTGCAAGACTGAGCTTCCAAGAATAAACATGCGCTTCTAGGTCGTGGTCAGCTGTCAAATGGCCTAGTCTGGATTTTCATTCGATTGGGGTGACTGAAATTCTGAGTTCTCTGAGGACTTCTGTGTTACTGGGGGGGTGGGCAGGTCAGCCCCAGTAGGGAGGGCCGCTCATGGAGCAGTGAGACTGGAACCCAGTGGAGGAGCTGGCCAGCACAAAGCAGTGGCTCTGGGCATAGGGTCACTCTTGGCAGAGGCAATGCCCAAAGCAGGGCCCAGCAGACAAAGGGACAGTCAGGGAGCTCAGTTTGTTTATAGAGACAGGCAGGTGCTCTGGGCCTTGTCTTTTTTTTTTAACTGCAAAACACAGCAGGAAACACATTGACTTGTGAGTTAATGAGCATATATACACATCTTCACAAAGCAACACTAATTTTACTATGTATGGAGTCTACTCTGCCCTATCCTATCCCATAGGTACCACCGCATCTAACTTGTCCACTTCACTCCCAACCTGCTATGCCTCACCCCATCCCATGCCATCCCATGCCATCCCATGCCATCCTATGTCTCATCCCATCCCATTGCATCCCATCCCATCCCATGTCTCATCCCATGCTATGACCTCACTCGATTGGCTTCTCCACTTGACCTCTCCTGAGGACAAAGGTGAGGTGTGCTTTGAGATGCACTGTAGGATTTAGGGTATCTTGCTTAAGTGCCTCTCTTTTCTCACCTGTAAAATGGACATAAAATAAGGCTGATATGGGAATGGGGTGGGAGGAGAATAGGAAAAGAGTGGATAGATAATGAACAATGCATTGGGACGGAGGAGGGGAAGAACTGTCTGAAGGGATATATGATTACATATTACATGTACGACAACAACCTGGAACAAGAGGTGCATTATAAAGGAGGGGGAGGGAGGAAAATGTGCAACGATGAATGCATGGAAAAACCCAACCTTTCTGTAAACCTTTTGTAAAATCACAATTTCAAAAAAATGGACATAAGAATACCTCACCACCTGTACCTTGGGTAGCTGGACTTCCGACATGCAGGAAGGATCCAGCATTGGTCTCTCTCAAGGCTGCTCTGTCCCTTTTTCATGGAAGGAGTGGGGACAATGAAAGGGATCTGAATGTAACTTCTGACTCTTTCTCTTTCTGGCTGCGTGACATGGGGTCCTCTCTGAACTTCAGTCTCCTCGTCTATCTGATGAGGATGCATGAGGGTGATGTGTGTACAGCTAGCTATTACACGGCAGGGCCTCTGCACACGGTTCTCCCCCTGCTCGTCTCAGGTGCCCTCTTCTCTGTGCCCACCAGGTGATCACGCTGGAAGGCTGGGTGGAGATTATGTACTATGTGATGGACGCACACTCCTTCTATAACTTCATCTACTTCATTCTGCTCATCATAGTAAGTGTCCAGGAAGCCGGGGCTCGGGGACTGAGCTCAAGAACGAGGCCTGGCCTCCTTGGGGTCTACAAAGCAGGTGGGGTGTTTGGGGAGCCCTCCGGGAACCCTCTGTGTCAGGAAAGAGCTGGAGTTTAGAGAGCAGGTGGGCTGAGCTTCAAAGCAGCTGATGGACGGGACAGGTCAGGGCGGCTGCTGGGCACGTCCATCATTCTTGACTGCCTTCCCCTCTCATTTCTCAGAATTGAAGGCCCGCCCAGTGCCCCAGCTCATGCTTCTCGGCCTCATCTCGGGGAACCTTCTCCCGTGATCTGAGATGAAGGTGTCCCCAGAGTGGAAGTCCCTCTGGGTCAGGGACTTTGGGGTAGAGTTTGAAGAGAGGCTAACCATTGTTTTGAACTGGGGGTCACCTTGAATTCTTGGGGAGGGGGTACTTGTAGGGAAGGTCTAGCTGGTTCTACCCCAGCTCAGGGCCCCTTCCCTTGTCTGAAGTCTCCATGCCATCTCCCAGAGCCATGCTCACCCCATTGTCATACCTGACTGCAGCTCAGCCAGGCAAAGTCCCCAAATGTCAAGGTGATTCACACCCTGGAGAGTTGCTGTGACTCCTGCTGTTCGGAGCTCTTTCCTGGCAGCCTGCAAAGGGCACAGGGCCCTGTGGGGCGGTGCTTGTCCTGCCCAGGGGGACCTTGAACCAGAGGTCAGGACAAGCTGGCAGGTGACCTGAGACTTGTCCACTGCAGTGCAGCCCCCTTCTCTCTTGGGACGTGGAGGCCGTGGTCTCTGAGGCCCAGATGGAGGAGAGGCCCAGGCTTTGCTTGGCTTCCCCATCTGTTCTCTCGGTTGCTCAATCACTGAGCATTCAGGGAAGTCTATGCTTTGGTCTAAAGCGAAGCCAGTCCTTGCTCTTCCCTGGAGGAGGTCACAGGCTCAGGGGACGATGAGCTGTTGGGAACCAGTGACCACACAACTTTCTCAGTGCCAGACAGAGACTGGGAGCCCAGAGAATGTCCCAGCCCAGCCTAGATAGGGAGGAGGGAGTGGGAGGCTTCCTGGAGGAGGAAAAGATTCCTGGAGGGGTCTTAGCTCAGGGGCAGCAGGGAGATGCCTTCAGGAGGGAGGAAGACGCACAGACACCCTGCGGCCAAATGACGCCAGTGGGGACAGCAAATTATAGGGATTGGGGGCTATTTGAGGAGCCTGGAATTTCGGGGAGGGACCACCTCAGTATTCCCTGGGAGGAGTTAAGAATGGGGTCTGCAGTGGTTAACTCACAGCAGGCCGTGGGGTGGTCTGAGCCCTCTGGATTCCCTGTGAAGTGGGGTGCAGTGATGACTCCTAGCAAAGAGGCTCTGGGGAATTGGATGAAACTGAGTTCAAAGCATATGCAGTCCCAGCCCCCAGTGTGACCTGCTCCTGTTACTGCTGGTCACAGGTGGCCCTGGCCCAGGAGCAAGGGGCCAGCAGGAGGCTGAGGCCGCAGCGTCCTTCCACACATCTGACCCTGCAGGCTACAGCCCACTCCGGGAGGACCCTGGGCCCCAGACAGGACGGGTAACTGGGCCACACCCAACACTCAGTGTGCCTGCTGATTGGAAAAGTCCTAAATTCCTCTTAGCTAGTCTCCCATTTTACAGACGGAGAATTGGAGACCTAGAGGGTATGGAGGACCTGCTCAGGTCACCTAAGGACAGCAGTGGCCAGTGCTGGGTTGGAGTAGAGACTGATCTGTGGGGTCCCCTGGAGATGAGAGGGTTGTGGTCCCTCTGACAGATGAGAGTGGAGCAAACCTCCAGGAAGTGCTAGTTAGAGAAATCTCGGTGGGGAATGAGGGAAGCAGCAGAGCATCTTTTTCCCTGAGAGGCAAAGATTTTTCCCAGAGTTCTCTGGGCCGGGCTGGAAGGCCTTTGGGTGGAAAGCTCCGGGCCGACCTTGGAGGTAGGTACTGCGGGATCGGTCCCAGACCACCACAACAAAGCCAACATTGTAATAAAAGGGAGTAACACCAATTAATTTTTTTTTGTCCCTGGTTTATACTGGGGAGCTTTGATGGGTCATCTCCCTCTCCTGGGACTAATTGCCTCTGAAAACTCCTGTACGGTGGGTTCAGACTCAGCATAACAATTAGTGCAGCGCTGCCAAGGAGGACTGATATTGTAATTCTAGATTTGGAGGTTTTGGGAGAATTACAATGTAAGAAGCTTTGGAACTGGAAATGACAAAATATATGTTTGTACTATACTGTCAACTATTAAGAGTGCACCAGCGTGATGGAAGAGTTTGAAATATTGTGAGTTATCAAAATGTGACACAGAGACCTGCAGTGAACACATGCTGTTAGAAAAATGACGTGACAGACTTGCTCCCCGAAAGTTGCCACAAACCTTCAATTTTTAGAATACACAATATTTGTGAAGTGAGATGATGTGAGGTGAGCCTGTCTCCTGGTGGGCAGGCTGCTGAGCACCCCCCAAAGGGTGATGGATCATAGCTGATGGGTGCTGGTGGTGGTGGACTGACCCCAGCAGCAAGGTGAGGAGGGTCTGCTCCCTGGACCCCTAGTTAAGGGACAGTAGGAGGTGACAGGTTCTTTCTACCAGAGCCACCTTGCCTTGTCCTCCTCATGCAAAGTTGAGGAAACCTTTTCTTTGAGAAGCTTCCTGTTCTTGTCCAGAGGCCTGAGGTCAAGTTCAGAGAGGGCAGGATCGAGGTAGGACTCAGGTCTGGGGAACCCAGGTGGGGCTGTGGCCTCCCCTCTGTCTTTGGCCTCACTGCCCATGTCCTGGTCAGGTGGCAGCACGGCCAGGGTTGAAGGGAGCTGGGGCTGGGCCCTGGGCCCCCGCCACCCGGGGTCCTCTCCTTGTCACGGAGCGAGGCCTCAGCGATCTTTTCCTGTCCCTATCTGTGTCTCTGTGCCTCTGTCTCTCTGGGCCCTCTGTCCTTGCCTCCTGTGCTGTTGTGCTTCTTTCTGCTTCCGCTCCCGTGTCTCCCCTCTGAGCCTGGCTCACTCTGTCTCGGGCTCTTTCTCTGTGTTGCCTCTTCTTGCTGGTCCTTTTTGTGCTGCTGCGTCTCCCCGGTCCCTCCTTTCTTCACTTCTGCTTCCATCCCTCCTTCTCTCTCTCTCTTTCCCTGTCTCTCTCCATCTCTCTCTGCCTCTCACTCCCCTTGTCTCCCTGCTGGCCCCTCATCCACTGTCTCTGCCTCCCCCACCTTGTCCCCTCCGTCCCTGTCCCTGTCCTCTCCTCCCGTTGGTCACAGGTGGGCTCCTTCTTCATGATCAACCTGTGCCTCGTTGTCATAGCGACCCAGTTCTCGGAGACCAAGCAGCGGGAGCACCGGCTGATGCTGGAGCAGCGGCAGCGCTACCTGTCCTCCAGCACGGTGGCCAGCTACGCCGAGCCGGGCGACTGCTATGAGGAGATCTTCCAGTATGTCTGTCACATCCTGCGCAAGGCCAAGCGCCGGGCCCTGGGCCTCTACCAGGCCGTGCAGAGCCGGCGCCAGGCCCCGGGGGCGCCTGCGCCCACCAAGCCGGGGCCCCATGCCAAGGAGCCCCGCCACTACAGTAAGTGACGCTGCCTCCTGTCTGCACCTGCCCCTTCCCACGACCACATGGGAGTCCAGGTGCCATCAACACGGGGGTCGGAAAGGCCGGCATCCCCAGTGGTTTCACGTCTCCCCAGAGCAAGAGGAGTTCTGAACTCCACGTCTTTATTCCACCCCACACTTTGGTGTTTTCTTTATAGAACCTCCCAAGTACCCATCACTTCCACCCTCTTTCCCTTTGCCCTGTGCCAGCTGGGCCCCTCCACTCCCACCTCTTTCCCTTTGCCCCGTGCCAGCTGTGTCTCTCCACTTCCACCCTCTTTTCCTTTACCCCATGCCAGCTGGGCCCCTCCACTCCCACCTCTTTCACTTTGCCCCCTGCCAGCCAGGCCCCTTCACTTCCACCCTCTTTTCCTTTACCCCATGCCAGCTGGGCCCCTTCACTCCCATCTCCTTTCCCTTTGCCCCATGCCAGCCAGACCTCCTTTCTATGATTATGATTATGATTATTATTTTGGTGTGTACCGTCAAATCAGATCTGACTGGTACAGGAGGAGATTGCCCCTCCTTCTCCAGCAGAGCATCTGGTGGATTCAAACCGCGTACCTCTGGGATTGCAGTACAGCTTCTTGTCACTAGGCCACCAGAGCTCCCTAGACCTCCTTTCTCTTGTGAAGTGGCTGCACAGAGCCAGCCCTCAAACTCAGAACCAGACCCACCGCTCTCCTTCAGGTTTCTGGGAGCAGACTGCCTCATCTTTCTCCCTTGAATCGGCTAATGGATTCAAACCCTTGGCCTTTTGGTTAGCAGTCCAACCTATTGCCCATGATACCACCAGACATCACACTCTCCAGACAGCCCCAGCCAGGACCATCTCACTGCTGGTCCCTGGGTAGGCTCCTTCCCTTTCCACTCAGAAAAAAAGGACTGATTCTCTGACCTCAGCCTAGTGGCACTCTCACCTCCCCGCTCCTGCTTCCTGGTGCCACCCCACAGCTTGCTAGTAAAGCCTAGGGCAGAATAAAGGGGCCTGGAATAATTGAGAATGGACCTGTGGGGGACACATGCCAACTATGGCCAGTGGTCATTTCTGAGAGTTAGCCCTTCAGGACTGGAAAGGGCTTCCTTATTTGGCTACTCCTCTGTTCTAGAAAACAGTTCCGAAAGGGAAACTGAGCCCCTGGTTTTCAGATGGGAAAACTGAAGTCCAAGAGCTTAAGGGACTGACCTGAGGTCACACAGAGTGTCTGTGGTAAACACTCAGGATCCTGGAGTGTCAGAGTGGACAGGGGACAGTGAGGTGGGGACAGAGGAGCCTTGCCGCCAACAGTGGAAGCCAGCCACGCTGGCCCTGCTTGGGGAACTTGAGATTCCTGGGAGGCAACAGGAAAATTCAGTCCCAGAGTGGCCGCCCACTGTCCCTGGGCTCCAGCCTGGCCTTGGAGGAGGCACCAGGAGGCCCGTGGGCTGGCCAGGCACGTGGATGGAGGAGTAGAGGCTGGCATGGCCAGCACCCGGTGTTCCTGGATGACATGGGGGAGGGGTGTTTACGCCCAGGGGCTTTCTGCTGCCACCCACCAACTTCTTTCCAGAGCAAGAGTGCAGGCAGGGGGCTTCTGGAAGGAAGTCTGGGCCCCCTGGCTCCCTAGTCCCTTCCTTTCCCTGGGAACCAGGTGTCGAGGGCACAGCCTCTCATATAGGGGTAGGGGGCAATGAAATGAGGCTGGGGAAGAGAAGGACTTTGAGGTCCTGCAGGGGCCAAAGAGGGACCAGAGCCCAGTGCTGGGGACTGAGAGGGCAGAGGGCCTTGTCCAGCGCTCGGGAGATATTTGGAGGCAAATGTGGAAATGAAGGCTATGTGGTCCATGCTGTTCTCTCCCTTTTACGTTTGGGTTTTTTTTTTCTGCTCAAGCTAAACAGATTTACTCTGAGAAAACAGAGTAAAATACAAAGAATACAGCCAGCTAGCTGCATCCCCACCCAGGAGGGAAGCCCCTCTCTTGGCCATGGCTCATAGATCATAGGCTCACACACCATCCTGGGATCTCAGGGGGCTGGACACTCTGACCTCGCCCTCTCCCCTGGATCCAGAACCACTGACCGCTCCTGAAGGCACCCCAGAGCTCCTAGATAAGCCCTGTATGGGCCCTGTGTGTCTCCTTCCTTCCCTGGGACAAACAAAGCCATGGCCCGGTGGGAGGTGTGAGGACCATGAGGGGACAGTGGCCCCCACACCACCCAGTCCTATTTGCTATCTCACCCGCAAACTCCAGGATGGTGGCAAGCAGGACTGTGCAGAGGGGCTACATTTTCAGGACAGTCTTTCAGTACCAACTGACCCAGGGAATGATGGGCAGTGAGAGTTACTATTGCACCCGGCATGGTTCTAGAAGCTTCCATGTATTAACCAAGGCCCTGTGAGGTGACACTCGCACCCCCTATCCCATAGCAGACCCTGAGACATTCCAGCCACTCTGCCTGTAACTGGACTGACCAGCTCATTCCAGGCACAAAAGGCTGTAACCCAGGGGTTAGGCTGGGCCACTATGGCTGGTGCCCGATGGATGGGCACTGACCTTGCCCCCCGTCTGCCTTTCAGAGTTGTGCCCGAGACACAGTCCCCAGGACCCTACTCCCCACACGCTGGTGCAGCCCATCTCTGCCATGCTGGCCTCGGATTCAGCCTGCTGCCCCCGCTGCCAGCATGAGGCTGGCCGGCGGCCCTCGGACCTGGGCAGCCCCGACTCGGGTCAGGAAGGCTCGGGGTCCCGGGGCTCGGAGGAGGCGGAAGGGGACGGAGGCCGGAGCAGCGACGGGGCCTCCTCGGGGCCGGGCAAGGAGGACGAGGATGAGCAGGCGGACGGGGCGGCCCGGCTGTGCGGGGACGTGTGGAGGGAGATGCGTGCCAAGCTGCGGGGCATCGTGGACAGCAAGTACTTCAACCGGGGCATCATGATGGCCATCCTGGTGAACACCATCAGCATGGGCATCGAGCACCACGAGCAGGCCAGTGCGCATGTGCACGTGGAGGGCGGGGCTGGCCGGTGCCGAGGAGGGAGGGGCTCAGGGGTTCTGATGGGTGAATGAGTGAATGAATGAATGAATGAATGAATGAAGCTGTGTCAGGGCTGGGTCTTCCCGACGTGGGAATGCCTCCCAGGTAGCACAGCCCAGACACCAGGCATCCCCAGCCCATCTCCTGCTGGTTCCTACCCAATCTGCCTCCTCTCTCAGGGTGAGCCCTCTTGTGTGACCTCCCTACAAACAGCTGGAGTGGTCTTCCCAGAGGGCCTCTCCCTGCCCTCAAACGTCCATAGCTCCCTATTGCCCTGCGGACATGAGCTGGACTTTTCCACTCCACATTCAAAGTCTCTAGTGAGCCAACCATCACATACCCATTACCTGCCTCCACTACGCCATCATCTGAACCCCACAACTCATGATGCTTCGAGGGGCCTTAGTCAGTCTGCAAAGACCAGACCCCCAATCACTCTCCTTGGAGGACCCTGTGGTTTCTTCTGTCCTTGGCTCTGAGCACGGGGACGCTGGTTGAGTTCATTGGTGTGCCCAGGGCTTCTCCTGGCATTGGGGATTTAGAAGTGAAAGGAATTCAGAGAAGTGGGGAGAGTAAGTTCTAGGGGAGGGAAGCTACTGGCAGGTGAGAGAGCATCAGAGGGGTTTTCAAGAGGTGAGGAGGGTAGCACATGTTGTGGGGACGCAGGGCGGAGGTGCTGTGATCTGGGGTTTGTATACATCAACTGGCTCATAAGTCACACCTAGACTGACAGCCTGAATGTCAAGTCTCGTCCTGTCTTTGTTTTTTTAAAAACCATGAACACATCACTTTCTGTTTCTGGAATCGATGGGTGACAAAAATGGTTAAGTACTTACTTGACTGTTAGCTAAAAGGTTGATGGTTCGAACCCACCCAGAGGTGCCTCAGAGTACAGGCCTGGAGATCCGCTTCCAAAGGCCACAGACTTGGAAGCCCCATGGACGCAGGCCTACCTTGCACTTGAGTCATCATGAGTTGAAACTGATGACAAGTTACAACCTCAGACCTCAGATAGGTTCTCCCCCTTAACGTTCAGCCTGTCTCCATGGAGGCACCCGCATTGTGCAGCTGGTAACCCCGAGGCCCAGGACAGGGAAGTGACGGGTCTAAGCCAAGGATCAGATTTGAACTCACATTTTCCATGGCTGACTCGCCTGTAGGGCGGAGGATTTCGGCATTGCCTGTGCGTCCTTCTGCCCTCCCCCTGCAGCTCGGCACCCACCCAGCTGCGCCCTGCAGTGTGCCTGCCACACTCTCATTTCTCTCTTCATTAGCTCCCTCCATTCAATTTGCTTTAAATGTGGCCCCTGGGGCTGCTGTGACACTGTGTTTGGAGTTGCTGGTTTGCCAGCTATTCCTGCTTAATTAGAAGCGGCCCTGGGGAAGGCTGGTGAGGACAGCCAGAGGGTTAACTCTGGGGGATACAGGTGATCCAGTCCCCATACATCTGGAGGCCAGCCTCTGGGCTTTGCCCAGCCCTGCCCTGACCTGCTTGGGGGTGGAGGCCTGGCTAGGTAGGCACTCTTGGGGAAGGAGCCTCAGAAAACAGTTGCTCTTGGGGTGTTTGCACTAGTGGGAGTGGAGTGGCACCAGGAGGGGCTTGTCCCAGGCCTGCTGTAGGTCTGAGACTGGACATTGGCCCCACTGGTGGCCTTCTCAAACGCAACTCGGAAGCACCTTGAAATTTTACAAACCAGTTGTTTTAACAGTTGGTAACTTGAAATCAATCATAGTGGAAGCGTTTACACCATGTAAATTGGCAGACACAGCAAACCAAGGCTGTCAGAGGTCTGTTTGTCAGCTCACTCCTGGTCCCGTGCCCTCCAAGGAGACCATGACCAGGGAGGTCTGTTCTCAGAGCCCACCTCTCCCTCTGCCTCTCACCCAGCCCAGCCCCCTCAGGGTCTCTGTCTGTCTCACTGCATTGTCACCTGGAGCCTGAGTGGGATTCTAACCTGCTCCTTGCAGGCATAGGTGAGGATTCTTCTGGTGGCCCCAACCAATCAGAGCGTCTTCTGCTCACTGACCTTGGTTTCTCATCTTTGAGGCAAGTGCCTCCCATGGTACCCTCCCCCTCACAGAGTTTGGCTGTATTTACTGATCACCCACTAAGGCCCAAGTGCTGAGACAGCTGGGGCACTGCCTCCTTACAGCCACCCTTGAAGCTGGTCTCATTGTCCTCAACGCTCTTTAGACAAACCACACCCTGCTAAGAAGTGAAATTGCTCCTCACCTTCCATGTTACACAGCTGGTTATGCTGTTGACTGGTGGGACGACTGTGGTTGACCTTTGGGGTCTTAATTACCTAGTGCTGAGATAACAGATACTACAAACAAATTTTAATAAATGTTTTCTTTTTTTCTATTAAAATTAATTTATTATGTATTTTTAAGTTTTCATGTCTGTTTATTCAGGAAATACTAATTTGTACAAAGTAATTTATTGATCCTTCTTGTATATATTCATAATCTTTGACATTGTGAAGTCGTCCCTTTTCTGTCAATAGTGTCAAGTCTGTTAGGAAGTGTTGTATGAGACCTTTGATGCCATACATTGTTGGGTTGTTGGGTTTTTCTTTGTTGTTTTTATCTCATGGATTCTGTAGTTGTGGAACACAAAATTTTAGATCACACATTCACTTTTGTCAGTTCCTTAACAATATCATCCATTTGACTTCTGGCTAGCATCTATTATTTCAATTTTATTTGCCATTTCTCTCTTATCTCTTTATGTTTCTTCTCTTTTTTTTAATCTCTCCTCTCTGTTTTTTTCTTTCTCTGTGTCTTTTAGTTCAACCAGCTTTGTTCTAGAAAAGCTTAGGCTTTGTAAATTTTCTTGTTGTTACGTACCTTAGAGAGTTGTTAGGTGCTAGCATGTCACTGCTATGAACAGACCTATGAACAAGGGATCTGCGTTTTGCGCTGTCCTGTGCCATCTTCGTGAACTCCGGCGTGCTCAGGCCTTATGTCAGTCTGTCTCATGGAGGCTCATCCTCTCCTTGGCTTTCTTTCCCAGCATGATGTCTCTTTCCAAGAACTGGTCCCTGATGGCAACATGTCCAGAGTCTATGAAACAAAGTTTCACCAACCCTTCCTCTAAGCAGCATCCAGTTGCATTTCCTCCAGTGAGAGTTAGATATATTGTTGTTAGGTGCGGTTGAGTTGAGTATGACTCATAACGACCCTATGAACAAAAGATCTGAACCCTGTTCTATCCTGGGCCATCCTCACACTTCCTGACACACAGGAGCTCATTGCAGCAGTCACCGTGTCAATCCACCTGGTTGAGGGTCTTCCTCTCCTTTGCTGACCCTCCACCCTTCCCAGCATCATGTCCTTTTCCAAGGAATAGCCTCTTTTAGCAACATGCCTGAAGTATGTTAGATATAGTGCCTGGTGATGAGCTCCCCAAGTTGGGAGGCACTAAAAAAATGAAGAGAAATAGGTGCAAATATCCACTTTAAATATGAAATATATCAAGTATGAATCTAGGAGAATTTGAAGTTGTGAAAAGTTGAAGTGGAATGCATAAAGATGGACATGGTAGACATTAGGGAGCTGAGAGGGACTGATACTGGCCACTTTAAAGCAGACAATCACATGATCGGTTATGTTGGGAATGACAAATTGGAAAGGAATGGTGGTGTGTTCACCCTCAAACAGAACATTTTAAGATCATTCTGAAGTACAGTGCTGTGAGTGATAGGATCTTATCCATATGCATACAAAGAAGACCTGTTAATACAACTAATATTCAAACGTGCACCAGTAACTAACAGCAAAGATGAAGAAACTGATGATTTCTCCCAACATTTGCAGTCAGAAATTGACCAAATGTGCAATCAAGGTGCAGTAATAATAATTGGTGACTGGAATGCAGAAGTTAGAAACCAAGAACTGGTAGTTGTAAAGTATGGGCTTGGTAATAGAAAAGAGATTGGTGAGTTAATGATAGAATTTCATACAGTTAGTAATTTATTCATCACAAACACCTCTTTAAAGAAACATAAATGGTTACTATACACATGGACCTCATCTGATAGACTACACACGAATCAGATTGACTACATCTGTGGGAAGAATCATTGGAGAAGCTCAACATCAGCAGTCGAAGCTAGGCTAGGTGCTGACTGTCGAACAAACATCAATTACTCATGTGCAAGTTCAAATTGTAGTTGAGAATCGAAACAAGTCCACAAGAACCAAATTGCAATGTTGAGTCAATCGTAAATGACTTTAAACACCATCTCAAGAATAGGTTGTTGTTGTGTATTGTTGAGTAGGAACCCATGGCTGGCCCTTCAGTGACTTTTCAGAAGCACTAAATTGCACGAGAGGAAACTGTCCATTTTTCTTTTATGGGGCAACTGGTAGATTTGAACTGCATGCCTTTGGGATAGAAGTGCTATTCCTTAACATCTAGGCCATCAGAGCAGGAACCTAGAAGTCCAAATTCAAGGTGCCAGCTTTAAGGAAGGCTTTTTCTTTCTCTGTAAGTTTTGTAGGGAAATCCTTGTCTTCGGCATCTGTAGGCCGGATATTCCTTGGCAATCTCTGTGGGCCCTGGCCTTTCTTAGCATCAGGGACTTCCTCCCTCAAGAGATATGAGCCCCAAAGGACACACTCCACTCCCGACAATTCTTCCTTGATGGTGCTAACATCCCCTTCCTTGGCCAGCTTCCCTTCACTTTTCTCTCTTGTGAGATGACAGGGATACAGGCCACATCCTAGGGAAATTTCTCTTAGATGAGGTCAGGTCTGTGATGAGATTAAGGCTGTTGCATTCTACCTTTAATTCTTTACAGCTATTTGGTTTTTCAGATCATGGTGTCATTATGTCATTTCCATATTCTGTTATTACACACATATGTTTTGTAGGAGGGGCCACACAAGTCAACCCATGATACTTAGCCTATCTCAGCTTGTATCTCCATCTGTGAATAGGCTCCCC